TCCAATCTCCATAATTTTCTTAACCTTAGACAACCCTTAGGAACCTACTATTCTATAAGATCCTTGAATTATAGAAGACCATAGTGCATGGTCCGTATCTTGTGATCCAGTATCCTGACATATCTTTTGGTTATTAAAATATATCCATTCCAACCAATTTTGGGCATTTAAATAGGCTTTGGTCAACCATTCTAGGGGAGGCCATTAAAAGATGGTGTGCTAGACTTTAGACGGTGTGCCCCGGAATCCAGAGAGAAACTCTAAAAGCAGAGAGCAAACCCTAGATCTAGTGAAGCAACCTTGAAGCCCTAGCCCCCTGAATCCAACTTAAATCAGCAAAACTCTACTTCAACCTAGCTAAAACTTGGTCAAGTTTGAAGAGAGAACAACAGAGGATACACGGTGTAAACACAACTGTGGTTCTGATACGGGCGAGGCCTCGAAGCCTCGGGTGCCCAGGGCCAACTGGCTCGGGCAGGTACCTTTTCTTTTCCATTTCCAGCTATTTTATTTATTTTATTAGAGTTATTTTATTTATTTTTTTAGATTTAGGATTCTTGTATTGCTTCTTTTTTTTTTCTATTTTGTATTTCATTGCACGGATCAATGCTGGCTCTGCCAAGATTTAAGATCAGATGTGCTCATTTTTTAGTAGATCTGACCTTAGATTAGAATTCGAATCGTCCTTACTCTCTATCAAATCACTTTTAAAAACAAGTTTGTGGTTCGGATATGAGGGATCTTCCTCTAAAGATCTCTCCGATCTGCATTATAAACACCCTCGTGTAAGGTTACAGTTACTTAGCGAAAAAAAGGTTACATTCTATGTAGGTGTGACCTATTGCAGGGGTTTGCTACTCTGCACTTCGTTGTTTAGTTCACTGTGTTTTGGGAGTGTGATTGGGCTTTTCCTTTCAGCTGCAGGCCTAGAAGCTCTGTTGTATAGAGATTAAATCTTTCTTTGGATGTTGGTTAATGATTTCTGGTTGGTACCAAGATGGCATCTATTTCATTGTTTACCTCTAAATATGTGCTATGAGACTGTTTGATGTCAGGCTGTGGATGGTTTTGTAGTCGTTGATTCTTTAGTAGTTACCATAAGGTTCCATACCAGCCTACCTTTTCCTTTTGCAAGGGTTCAGATGAAATGTTATCCACTAATTTTGGCGATAGAATCATTGGAGTTTAGGTTTGAGGGAAAATGTTAATGTGTATGATGTTGGGAAAGAGTGATGGGCTTCCACGTGGAAGGATGCTGCCTATCAGAGAGATGAGGTGAAGATGCCGCTGATAGGAAAGAGTGATGAGGACAATTTGAAATTCCAGTTTATGTTTTCTTAGGGGGAGGAGGAAAGGGAAAGATACAATACTAGAAAGAACAATTCACAGCTGGTTTTGGACTCACAGCAATCGATGTTGGTGTCAAGATAGAGTGGTGGCAAAAATATCCCTACTAATTTTGCACAAGATACAAGGGTTGCTACCCTTCTAATCCTAAATGACTGATTTAAACTTGGGTATTGTGTCCCTGACAACAGATTGAAAGTGAATATGAAGTTTCAATGGTCATTATTACCCAAAACTGCAGCCTTGAACAAAATTCACCAGTTACTTGAAAGTTGAGACAAGCAATTCACATATGGATACTGAAAAATAAGAAATCTGCACATTGATACTATGCATCTATCTATGTATTATGTATTGGCATGATAGCATTTTCCATAATCTTATTCCTTGTGGTAGCGTTAGACTTAGCATGTTCTTTGGTTTCTAATTGGTAACCAAATTCTATTGGTTCCCGCAGTTTTGATATGGAAGTAGGGAGGCATCAAGATTGATCTAGTGATTTATGCTGAACTTTGATTGTTTAGGGGGTCTTGTGCATTAGCAACATGATACCGAGGAACATGCAAGATCCTCTTGCTTCTCATGTGAATGATCTGGAGGACGTTCCAAGTTTTGCCTCAAGGCTTTTAAGACCTTCCTCATTTGTTTATAGTTCCCCCATCAACTTGCACGACGCTGAATCAGTTCTAGGTGGTAGGAGCTCAGTTCCTGGAAAGTTTGACCATGGGGTGCTTGCACCATGCTTTGATTATTCAAACAGGTAGATGTCAAGTTGCGCATTCTGGAAACACCATGCCATTCTTTCTCACATGGTTTTCAATTTTCTTATGTGATTGTAGGTTTTCCAATGGGCTACCAAATGGAGACTCTGATCCTAAGACCTCAAAAGTGAACGTGGCTGATACATATTCAGAGAACACGCCAGGAACTCAAGTAATTTTAATTGGGTAGAAATTACTAGCTATGTCTTCATGAGATTTATTTTTCTCATGTTGATGTTTTCTTTGGTGGAGATAGTTCGCTTAACAAATGTTTGAGATGTGCATAACCATGGATAGATTCAGATTAGTGGCTTGTCATGTGAAATAGGAACTTTTACTCAGGGCAAGGAAAGAGGAGCTTTTGTCACTCCGTAAACATCTCGCAGATGCTGCTATTAAGGCATGAAAATTTATCTAAGCGATTTTTGACTGAATTGGCCTACTCCCATACTATAGTTTATATTGCAAATTGAGGCTTTTCTTGTTATATCATCTGCCATTTTCAGGAGACACAGTTGCTCATTGAGAAACATAATTTGGAGAAGAAGTTTGCTAGTTTTCGCATGGTTGGTATACTTTTTTTATCCTTGTTTTCCTATTCTTTATTTTTTATTTTCTTTAATGATCTTTTCATGCCTTTCTAATAAGCATCATTTGGGCAACAGGAGTTTGATCAGCAGCAAAGTGATGTCATAACTCTTGCGTCAAAGGCATTGTCTCATAGAAAAGATGATATTGAAGAAAATATACGGCTAACACATGCTTTGCAGGTGAAATTTTCGGTTTATATGTTGAAGATATTAAGGTGTTCATTCTGTGGAATTGCTTCAACAACCAATCAGACTATCAAGAGATACTTGTGTTTCTTTTCGTCATTCTAGTACTAAGGGGCACTCATAAATTTAATGTTGCATGAATTTTCTGTGTTTGATTAAGCTCGCATATTCTTTTCCATGCAGTTCTTGCATCAATTATTTCATTCTTCCTTGATTACTTCTTTTCACACTTCTGGCTGAGGCCTGCAAAAGTTTCCAGCTCTGTTAAAGCTTAAAATTCTGGGAATTTCCACTTGATATGGCATTCCCTTATTAGAACCTCCTTTTCTTACTTGGGAGTGGAATCTTTTTGGGAATATGTTCCTTTCTGGTAATATAGCTGTGACCTTCCTCTCAAAAACTTGTTCTTTGTGCTTTTTAGAAGAAATCCTTTTTATGAGAATGATATTTTTAATATTAAAGATTACATGCTGCATGACTGAAAAAAAAAGGCACTGTTTGCTTTCTCATCTTAGTAGTGTGTGGCTCAAGTCATATTTTTAAGAAGCTGGTCCTTTGGCTTGTTAGAAGAAACCAAGAGATGGACACTGTCATTAACAATCATAGGAAGTCAGCCTACCTCTTTGCTTCAAATATGATCCAGGATTTTCTTGTAATTTAAATGGAGGATAGCAAGTATAGTTCTACTGTAGTTGTGACCTTGTGATGGTGACTGATTAGTCTTCTGATGGTGACTGATTATTCTTCTGTTGATTAAAATTCTTAAGTGATACCCTTTATAGATTGTAGTCTACTATGCGGAGATACTCTTTACATGGACTTCTTTTATATGGGAAATCTGTAATGGTATGACAGAGGGTTCAGTTATAGAATAGCCATAGTAGTTTATATTCACTAAATAAGTATACGATTAGAGATTGGCTGATTTGTCATTTACGTCAGGCATCAATATGGCTAATTAATTGTTGTATAAATCTTATACTTTTGAATTGGCTATTTATTTCTTAAGATTTGGTTTGAATTCTCTAGGCTGCTGAGCAAGATAGGTATACTTTTCTTTCATCACTTCCTGGTTTGCTAGCTGAGTACGGCTTACAACCTCCGGTGATGAATGCTTCCTCAATCGTTAGCAATACGAAGGTATTTTCTACCTTTACTGTCTGATATTGTTATAGCTTCTTGTGTGCAAGCACCACTATTACAACTGCTGCTTTTTTAGAAGTTTAGAAATTAGAACTGCTATCATTACTGCTACACTTGCATTATTATTTTGCTGTTTTGGTTGTGTTTTGGATGTCTAGGGTTTTCATTTGTAATGCTGCTCTTGCGATTTTCATTGCTCTAGTTGTAAAGTCTTTTCACACTTAAAATGGATCTTGTACCCCAGTTGAAAAGGGATTGTGTTAGGAATTGACATTTGGAACTGCATTGTAGACAACAGGGGATATCTTAGTCTTCAGTATGTGTACTAAGTGACTGTTTCTGTTAATTGTTTGTTTGAGCCTCCGATGCTTATCCTCAGTGTAAATTTTTTACAATGTTTCAGTGCTTGTGCATTTCAAAGGGAAATATCTTTCTTATGCTTAAGTAATTGAAACAAATATTTTTTTGTTTTTGGCTAACTTTCAGGTTTATTGATGTCGACGTTCTTTTTGTCTACTGGAGTCTAGGCGGATAAATACTGAAAAAATGTACTAAAATTTGTATTTATATGTAAAAGTCCTTGATAATTTGATCTTCTTTTCTTCTTGAAAGTGCAATGAACTCTGGGTCTATCTCGTGTTATGGGGTGCATAGAATGTACTTCAGTTGAACTGGAGGATGATCCTTGTGAACAATGTGTCATGTATAGTTCTGTATCTTTAGGTAGCGTAACTCTGTAATTTTATGCAAAGTTGGAGAGTTTGTCATATCCCATATCCTGGGTTAGCTATCTCTCACTCAAACTGCATTTCATGAGAAATACACTCATCCTCAGTGGACTAGTATATGGTACTGGGGCTGAAGGACCATGTACTTTACCGATTCAAATGGTCTAGTCACACTGTCCAGATTTCGAGAGCATGGTTATGTCTAGTCAAGGATGCATTTATGATCCTTATTAAGTTACATAGGCTCAAACTGTTAGCCTATTGCTAGGTCTGGCTTCTTAAAATTAGAACTCAAATAATAGTTCTCTCCTTTTGCTGGATGTTCTTTGTATCTCTGAGGGATGGAGGAGGCTAGGTTAATTGAAACATACTCCTGTTCGAGCCGGAGTGGAGACCGAACTTCTGTGGAGAATAGAAGGGGTGATTCAGGTGAGTTCAATGTAGATCCAAATTTCTATTTACTTGTGGGATCTGGGTGGTTGAGGGGATCACCATGGCTCCTCTCTTCTCAAGGATCCATATGTCCCTTATCAGTGTATGGGCAACTATCTCATGGGCACAGATTAAGGTTCGGGACTTGAGGATATATATCTCTTTATCTACATTAAATGGCAGTTATTTGTATAAAGACTAGCGCACAAGTGTGTGTGTTGGTTTGTGTGGGGTGGTATCAGAGATGACAATGGCGGTGTTAGCGGCTGCGGTGGGCTGGTGGTTGGTCTCATTCTCCACTAATCTCCACTGTTCATTTGAAGGGATGGTTGATGGAGGTGAGACTGTGGTTTTAGGATGAAAAACTTTGGTCATGTTTGTACTTTTTGGAGAGTCCACAAAGTGCCTCTATTTTACCTACTGTAATAAGTGGGAGTTTAGTCTGCTCCTGCTAACTCAGAGTTGGCTGTTTCTCTGCCCCATTTACATGGAAGCAGCCTGTTGTCATTTAACTTTGCAAGTTCGGGAGACTTACTAAATGTTTGTTTACAAAATGTACAAACACACCCTTTTTCTTCTCTCTCTTTTTCTCTCGACATACATACATACATATATATATACATACACACATATATCTGCAAACTCACCTTTCTTCTCTCTCTCATACACGCATAAATATAGATCGATGGATAGAAAGAAGTTTATATAGGTTGTCAACCTTATACTACAAAAGTGACACACACCTCAAAAATCCTTATGAAAAGGTTGTTTTGACGTTAAAAAACCTCCAATTGATGATCTCATCCTCGAGATTTATGGATATGAAAAAAAAAGAATTTCAAGTCTTAAATATAATACATCTTGTAACACATTATTTGGACTGCCCATTTTCAAGATTTTCAAATATCATAAATCGGCTTGATAGCTCCAGTTTTGGAGGTTTAAATTTCATAATTGTGGAAGCAGATTTTTAGGCTATCATAAGAGTTTCTAGTGGTGGAACTGCATCTTCTGGTAGGGTTTGGAGGTGCCCCTTACTTTGATTATTTAAGGTGGACACCATATATAAACCACACCCATATATTACCTAGCCTCCGAAAGATAATTTTGTCATTGTGTTCCTTCTGACACATAGCATCTCCTTGGTTTTCAGGTCGTGCTAGAATACTTTTCTTATTTGCTAGTTTGCGTATTAGTCTATCATTAGTTTCCGTGTACCTTCTATACCCCATTAGATTTACAAGTGATATATCACTAGTTTGAAGGGCAGGTTTGTGTTGGGCAAGGTTTTTAAAGAACGCCGATCCATGGATCAGAATCGGCGGCCAATCCGGATCGAGAATTGTTGGGATGAACCGGTTCCTACGAAATACTAGGACCCGCCCAGTTCCCCTCATGACAATGCTGGTTCCAGTTTTGCCAGAGGACAAGTTAGACCCGGTTCCACTATTTTTTATATTTTTGCATTTTTTTTGAATTTTTTACTTGGGTTGACCACTTGTTTTTGCCCTACTTTCAAGTTTTTTATTTATTCTATTTTTTTATTTAGAAATTTTAATTAATTCGGGATAGGATGGCCCACCACATGATGATTGGGCGCCAAAAGCGAATATGTGCTTGGACACTCCACCATCGCTTTTATCCCTCAACCCCATTGCCCTTTTATAGATGCTCCCCCACGCTCACGGCTTTGGACCCCCCGATGTGGGACAAATTTTTTTTTAATGTACCTTCAACAAAAATCTTTTGGGCATATTTGCGTAAGTGTCAAGAGACTGCTGGTTTTCTAAAGTTTAATGCATGAAAAACTTTGGACAAAATACTTTTGTGCATTTGGATAGAAGCTGCTGGTTTTTTAATTTTTAATGCATGAAAACTTTCGCATTTTGTGTAATTTTAGGAACTAGCATGCAACAGTTTCTCTCTCTATATGCCTACATATTGTAGTTTCTCTCTCTTTGAAGATTCCCAACCCTATCTTCTCTTTTATCTAGGTTTATGCTGCAAAGGTTGGGACCTTCTCTCTCAAAATTTGAAACCCTTTCTTAAAGTGATAATTGTAGCCAAAATTGAGATTGAAAAAGTGAAAATTTTACGTCTTAATCTTCACAGTAGGCCAGTAACGCTCAATATGTTGTCTCGCTCTCTCTCTCTCTCTCATGCCTTGCTTAGCCTGAAACATAAATCTTGCCTTCTTTCTCACCTCATGGAAATACTCGTGTGTATGTCATTTACTCCTTGTAATTGCCTATTGGGTCATATTTAATGAGTTCTTTTTACCTCTCCTAAGATCTTTCTCATCTGCAACATATCATATTTATCCAAACTGTAAGTCCTGGGCAAATTTCTTTTTACTGTATTAAACAACGTATTGCCTTGTATAAGTCCTGGACTCATCTAAAGTAGGGTGCACAATTTTGGATGATCAACAGACATCAAGACATGGAAAAGACATCTTAATATTCATGTATTTTTGTAAAATAATGAAAGTACATAATGCACCACCCCTAAAAGTTTTTGGAAACTCAAAAAACACTATTTTTAGGGATTTTTAGTATTTTTTTGAAATTATTTTGAGGCCGAAACCGGCGAATCCGGCTGATTCTCTGATCCGGATCGCCAATCTGACCCAGTTTTTTGGGGTGGCTGATCCGGGTTACCGATCTGATTTTTTAAACCTCGGTGTTGGGTGAATAGACAGAAGAATGATTTTATTAGGTTTCTCTTGGTTAACTTGTAGACGACTGAAATGATATTTGGTTTGGCCGAAACCTGCGAAAGGTTTATAGAGAGTAATGTTACTATATAATTCTATTTTCCAATAAGAAAGGGGGGAAAAAAGAAAATATAATCATACTGTTCAAGGATGATCATATGAAGAAAAACTTGCTATCGGAGTGGAATTATTCGAACAACACTTATGAGTGTACTTAGTAGTTCTTTATGAATAGTTATTTGGGTAAATAATTCTTTATATTGAATAGTCATAATATAAATACCAATTAACATGTGATTTCATTGTGTGGCCATTAGAAACTGTGGCTCCTTGGTGGGCCACTTATGACCAATATATTTGAGAAAAAGATTGGTGTCATGATGGTATCCATTCTAGAAGAAGCTGAAACTTGCTAGCTAAACTTATGTTTAGGGTGGTCATTTAATGGTTCCTTTTCCTCTCTATATTTAGAAACTTCACTGGAAATGACATATGTGTCATGGTGGAGCTTAATGACAAATTTTTTGCACAATTTGCATTTGTAACTTTTTTTTTTTGCGTTTCCCTTTTTGTACCTTCAATTGTTGCTATATTATCAAACTATGAATGTATGTATATTTATTTAATATGCTTACTATGCCGTTTTTTAATTTCTATTTTATAGTAACAGTTTCATGATTTTCTTAATGTTCAGGATTTATTGCAGCATTTACGCCAGAAACTTAACATCTCTGAGGTCAGTATATTATCTACTATACATTGAATCTGATGTAGCCATAAAATTTGATATATTGGAAATTATTTTTCGCACACATGATGATTCATGTATTGTCTTAGGTTGGGTGTTGTATTTAGTTGTGTTCTCATGTGGTATGGTTGGGGGGAATATGGGTATTTAAGGGCCTGAATGAGATGTTACAAGGTGAACCAAGTCCAGGCTCCTAGTAAGCATTGTTGTGGTGGACAGACATCAAGGGAAAAAACTTCTATAGATTGAGGTGGAGGTGGTATCCAATTTATACCAGGTCATTGATTAATCAAATCAATGGTCCCCAGTAATTATTTTTGTATCTTGAAATTTCATTGCTTCTTTCATGCTTCTTCATTTCTCTGAAACTTTGATAAGTTACTAATATTTAGATGGCCTCCTGGACTGTAGTTTTCCACTTGTGTGGCTGTACGAATCATACTTGGACCAAAATGTTTGTCTTGGAAGGTTAAAAAACGTCATTTCTTTGGTGGTGGTGTTTGCTGTGTATGGAACTTTTATGAACTCATCCTCAGTTGATGCAATGTTCAATGGAAAATAGAAACCACATTGTGAAGATTTTGGGATCTGTAGGTGTCTAAAAAAACCTTGGAGCTTTCTGTGGCTGAGTTAAAACCTTGTGTGAGAAAATCGAGACTACATATATATATATATATATATATATATATGTGTGTGTGTGTGTGTGTGTGTGTGTGTGTGTGTGTGTAGGTAAGTAGTAGTAGTAGTATACTTATTATTAGTAGTAAGTAAGTACGTACTACCTAACTAAACTAACTAACTAAGTAAAGTAGTACGTTAGTTTAGTTACGGTTAACG